GGGAACTCTGGTGATCTAATCTGTGGGGCATTGCACTGCTAACCCAAAAATCCCATCTCTCTGGTGATTCAAATCCATCAATGGTTCCTCTGGGTAGAGATAAGTAATCTCCTCCTGTGCAATTTATAGCCTTGGAAACCTAATGGAGGGTGAGCTTTGAGTCATTTTCAACACAACAGAAATGAGTAGATGCAAGGAGTCCTGGTGAGACATTGATTAAAAAACTTGGCTACTAATCACTAACCAAAAGGTCAGGGGTTTGAACCCTCTAGTTGTTTCACAGTAGTTTACCTCTGTAAAAAATGTATACCCTTGGAAGGAAACCCTACTCTGTCCTATTGGGTCACTATGAGTTGGAATCAGCTCAGTGGTCGTGGGTTTGGGTGAGTACTGGATACAACATAATCATATTGTTTGCCCTGGATTCATTGACTACTTGTATGTATTCATATAGATATATTCCCTTTGCTCAAAAAAATTCCTGATAGCAACAAATTCTTTACATAGCATGTACTTAAATTTCTAAATGAAAACACACTTTTAGTTTTATGAAGAGTGTTAGTTTCCAGAAATATTTTTAATAGTAAAGACAAACATAGAAGAATTATACTCAGTAAGAAGACTTTGAAATTTGATGCTGGAGGATAGTATTGAATATACCTTGGACTTCCAAGTAAACAAACAGATCTGCCTTGGAGAGGGTCAAACAAAGCTGCTCCTTGGAAGCAAGAATTTTGAAGCTTCATCTCACATATGTTGGGCATGTGGCCAGAAAGGAACAGTCCTTGAAGAAGGACATCATGCTTGGAAGGGAGGAGGGTCAGCACAGGAGAGGAACACCCCAGATGAGATGAATTGTCACAGTAACTGAGGCAGTGGGGGAAGATGTGTCAGAGACAGTGAGACTGGCTCAAGATAGGTCAGGGTTTGGAGCTACTGTGCATAGGGTTGCCATGAGACACAGGCAACTTAATGGCACAGAGCAACAACAAATATTATAAAGTATGTTGAACATACACATCCTAAATAAATATGATTTTTCAGGAGGAAAATTAAATTCTATCATATTTTTAGCATTTTGCAGATTTTCATATATCTCCAGAGACATTGATTCATTTAGCCCTCATAACAGCTTTATAGGTAGAAAAGCCTTCCTTATTTCCCAGATGATACAGTTGAGGATCAGGAAGTTTATGTAATTTGTGTGATATCCAGCAGAATGTCAGAGTGGAGATCCAGATGTAATTTCCAAAGCCTGCACCTTTCCCATCAATTACTTCCTGCTCTTTATACTATTAATAGTAGAGAAGGCATGCTTTTCTTTCCAATGTACCAAGTGTTGAAATACAATGATGTGATTTGCTAAGCTCTTATAACGTGTCTGTTGGATATATTGTTCCATATGCTCACATCCATACTTTCCTCCCCTTATTAAACATTTCTTGTGACAGCAGATCATGAACTTTAGATCAGATGAAAAATTAAAGGTTAGAGACTTTTAATTATACTTGAGAATTTAAATTTTTCCATTATTTTAATGGTGGGTATATAAATACCTTATGACTGTCCTTAACAAAAGGAGCACTTGTGGTATATAATAAGTTGTGCCAAAATAACAGTCAGTGATTTGAATGCCTCATCTGTTCCTTGGAAGAAAGATGGACAATGTACTACCATTATGATTTACAGCATTGGAAACCCAATGAAGGGTTTCTAGGACTCAGAATCAACTGGATAGAGGTGAATTTGGTCTTTAACAAATAAGAAGAACACTCTGTGATAGTTTTCCTCAAGGGAAAAAACCGACAAACTCACATGTGTTGCTGTTATGGATCATTGAGTCGCCTGTAACTCATAGTGACCCTATGTACAACATCCCTACACCCTGCTCTGTCCCTTGCCAATCTTATTGTCTCCAATCACTAATGTCTGCTTATAGTTGTTACTCCTTTTATATGAATAAAGCATTCTATTTTTGCTTTAAGAAGTTTTTTTCCTATAAGATATCGGTAGCTGTTTTATGCTAACCAAATGATTCCAAATCACAGTGACCCAGTGTGACAGAGTAGAATTGCCCTGTGGTATTTTTTGGCTGTGATCTTTATAGAAGTGGATTGCTAGATCTATTCTCTACAGATAGGCAGCAAAACACAAGTTAAAACCTCGTATAAAACTTCTTCTTGTTGTTGTGAACTGTCAAGTTGGGATTGACTCACAGCTGATATTCCACAAGGTTTTCAAAGGTAGTAAATCACATGAGAGGAGATTACCCATTTTTTTTTCCCTGCAGAAAACCTGGTGGATTTGAATCAACCATCTTTGGGTCGATAGTGCAATTCCTTACCACCAGGTGACTAGAGTACTAGTGATGATAATTTATCCAAGACCTACTTTTTAAAGTTTCATATTAATTCAGTAGTAGGGAACAATGTATTTTCTCTTCAAGGAAAAAGAAGCAGGCCTGGTAAATCAAAGGGGTTTTGTTTGTTTGTTTTGTGTGTTTTTTTTATCATTTATTAATTTCAATGAACATCTACAGAGATTTTGGATTTCCATTCATTCATTGTTGCCGTTTTCTCCCTGCCCACCCCACTCTGGGAGGATATCAAGAAAATCATCCATGAAGAATGCAAAAGATCATTACAAAGGCTGAAAAAGAAGCAAAGACCAAAATAGATGTCAGATGAGACTCTGAATATTGCATTAGAACGCCGAGAAGCCAAAGCTAAAGGAAGAAACCAAGAAATCAAAGAACTAAACAGAAAATTTCAAAAGGCAGCCTGGGACAACAAAGCAAGATACTGTAATGAAATGTGCAGAGAGCTGGAGTCAGAAAATCAAAAGGGCCGAACTCGTTCAGCGTTTCTTAAGCTAAAGGAGATCTCCTTGAAAAGCAACAGAATAACTCCTTCATTGGTATACAATCCCCAGCTCCCGCACACCCTCACCCCACCCCAAGTATACTCTACTCTGTAACCCTCATTCCAGACTCTTATGAGAATCATAATGCCCTAATATATATTACTTTTAAACTATTCTCTCCCTCATCGACTTCAATGCAGTAAGCATCAAGTTTTAAGGCAAACTCCGTCTTACTCGGGAAGCTCATGCCAAAGTTGAGGGGGGCTTACTTGTCTGCTGGGACTGGGTAGTCCATCAGCTGAAAGATAACTTTCTTTGGCGAAGTACGTGTCAGCAAGGTGACCACTCGCAACATAGCTTGTTTTGTATTGTGAGCACAATTTCCACACAGTTTCTGATAAATAGTATGCACAATCTTTGACACCTGGAAGAGAAATGAGAGATTCTCTAACCAAAGGCCTTTCTTGAGTTTGAGAATTGAGTATTTCTCAGAATGACCAAGGAAGTAATCAATTAACACACAAATAAGCATTGGCAATTAGCAGATTTATTTTTTGCTATATACTACAAAATACT